ATATTTTATTTGAATGTAAAGTATTATATTTATTTATTTAACTTTAAAATATTTTATTTGAATGCAAAGTATTTATTAAAATATATTTTTATTAACGTATAATTATATATGAACGAATTTGAGGCTTAAGGTCTGTTTGAGATAACTGCACAAATTTTTTTTTAAAAGTTTGGCTGCAATTAGAAAGATGTCACCGCACTTAGCCTGAACCGATGAAAAAAATGTAAATTTCAGTAGCAGTTTTTCAAAAAACTATCAAAACGCAGTTCACCCAAATAAACAAATCTGAAGTGCGGTGTCGCAATCCTAATACATCGCGCCCCAAAAAGACCCATAGTCTCTTGAAATTATAAATTTGATGAATGATTGGTATATGATAGTTGTACATCCAACTAGCTTTTTTAAGTCATTTTTTCCCTTTTTTTTTTCTAAGTTGTGATTTAAATGTTAAAATGTTATTGATCTATTTTAAACAAACACTGGGAAATTTATATTTAAAATTATTTGACAATACTTCTAAAAATATCAAGCAATTAAAATTGGGATGTCAATCATTTTCTTGGTTAAAAACTATTCTTTTATTTGTATTACTCTAAAAATTAAATAGTTTTAGATATCATGAATAGTTCAATATTGATTATGAAAGTCTCATTAAATTAATGGCATCATATTCTTTAACAAAACACTTATTTTGTTATTTGTTTGCCCTGATTAGATATGTAAATACATAAGAGTTGAGTGGTATGCTCGTAAATCTTTCATTGTATTATTATATTAGGTGATATTTACACGTGTAACTACCTTTAATCAGTTTATTGGGTATCTTATCATCGACAACAGCAAAGAAAAATGCGTTATAAAATGAATAATAAAGACGTTATGGCACGTGGCAAAATATAATTTAAAAAAAGTGACAAAAAATGCGTAAGATTTACGCTCCATTCGTGGAGAAATCTTTCCATAAATATTGGTCGAGAATAAAATTTTTAAGCTAAAACTAATATTTAATTAAGTGTTATACAGTAATTATAAATATTGATATTATTAACTAAAGATAAGAAAATTCAGGGCGGTAGAATAATAAATTTAGCATTATTGTATAAGAGAATTAAGCAGAAAATTAAGCAGGAATCTCGACTTTTTACGTGGAAAATTCTTAAAGGGAGAGAGTCTATCCGAATTGAAATAATCTACTATGAATGATGAGTACACATATTCACTATTCTCTTTAATTAGGATAGATGAAATTACAAAGTTGTATAACCATAATTTAACTGTAGTTCTTGATAAAAGCAGACTGCAAGGGTCATAACCGATTGTTGTGGAGGAAGTAGTCCATCGTAAGTGTTGTAGATGGTTGCTCCAAGCGTGTTAATTGGGCAGAGAAGCCATGGTAGGCATTTTGCTAGAGTTGTATATCACATAGGTTGTAGTTGGTCACGTAAACAGTAGTTGTTATTAGTATTGACGTCCGTAGACCACAGGGGTCGGGGTCAGGAGTTATACGAGTTGTGGACCACGTATGTCGTAGTTGGTCACATAGGTCATAATGGTAAATAGAAGTGACATCCATAGGCCGCGAGGGCAAGGGTCGGGAGTTGCACGAACTGCGGATCACATTGGATGTTGTTGGTCACGTAGGCCGTATTTGTGAATAATAATGACGTCCGTGGACCGCGGGGTCTGGAGTCGGGAGTTGTAGGAGCATGTGCATAATGCTTTGTTACTCTACTTGACAATGTGTTATTGCACCGTCTTTAAAGTTAGCCCAAATGTTCTGGATGATATGCCACTTTTCATGTTGTTTCGTGACTCTGCATTGTCAATTGTTCCTTCGTATGGTGCTTCGTCGCAACAAGTGGCCAACGGTCGATGGTGATCGGCGGCGGTAGGTGAGTGGTGATCAGCAACTGCAGCGACTAGTGGTTGGCGGCAAAGTGACATTGGACTTTAGCTCCCCTCCCCTCCCCGCCTGCTGCCGATACATTAATTTTATATTGAAATATATTATTTTCATTCTATTTTAAAAAATCATCTATTCATTTTATAATGAATCAAATATCTTTAAAAATTTTCAAATATAATACATTCCTTCTATATTATATTTATTTTTCATACATCCATGGATTATATTTAGTAATATTAAAATCCTATTTTAAGTGGCCGGTGATTTGATCATGTCAGAATTTGTGTTGGCATTCGACAAGTGACAAATGCGATTAATTTAAATTGATTAAACCTCGGCAATTAGTGTTAATCCTATGATGCAATGTTTAGAAAGAGACGTCCATGGCGTGCACTACCTTCGTTTTTTTTTTTTTTTTTTTTTTTTTACATAGGGTGGGTGCCCGATTTTTTTTTTTGCTTTTCAACATAGGGTGAGTGCCCGATTTTTTTTATTTTATTTCTAGCCAATATACCTATTTATTTCAGCATAAATTTATATGTATATTTTTAATTTGCTTAATGATGAAGAACGTCTCGATCTTCGAACCAATATGAGTATTTTGCACAACCAGATGTAGGCATGCTTATCGAGCGCACAAAAGGTTAGCCTCAAAAGAGGAGTAAATCAAGCTTTGAATTGGATTATTAAAATAAAATTGAGTTATTAAATTTTTTGCTCGAAATGAGATTGGGTTGAATTGGCTTATTGTTGGGCTTAATCAAATAAAGATTAAAATGATTCGAGTTAAATTATGAAACAAGTTTGGATTGGATTAACAACAACTTCTTAATAGCCCTATTATTCATGACTTATGATGCTGATTATACAATGATAATGTACATAAAAAATGTATCAGCAAGAATCTTGAAGAGATATGTTAGGGGACAGAAAAGATGACATGGTGGTATGGGACCCACCAGAGACAGTTCAAGAACCTATATTTATTCGATCGGTTTTTGTTGATTGGGAGAAAAGTAGTCCCGAGATGGACAAAACTCGGCCATCCTCCCAAAGAGTTATTGGTACAAGCGCCGTGTTGATAAATCCGTCGGTATCCTCAACCAGATCTTAAAAACCGCCAGGATTTAAAGCAGTTGGGCGGGAACTCCTGGTTCAACTTTCGGCCATAGCCACCTGGGTAATGACAAGGCCGGTGATTCCCTCAAGCTATAGGGTGTGGTCGCCCGGCTCAAAGTCTACTCGAGCTCCATCTCAGGTCGGACGCCGTCTCAGGCTCCTGGCCCTATAATTATTTATTAACCAAAAAACCCCATATTCCTACCTTAATACGGGTACAAAATGCAATCTTACAACCTCCATTCATATATATAGAGGCTCATTTCATTAATAAATGTTACATGATTTTATTGTTCATTATTGTGCTCTCTTTACTTTTTTTCTCCCTTTCGCGCTTTATTTCTTAGACGTGTCTCTCAAATAATTTTGGATTCAACACATAACATTTAATTTGTTTAGTAGATAGTGATTAAAATCATAACGGTTGAATCCATTTAGGACGTAGAGCTCTGTATCGTCTATAGGTTCATACAGCTTGGAAGAGACGTGTATAAATATGGTGAAAGAAGAGGATGTAGGTGTTCTCCAGCTTGAATTCTTTGTTTTTGATAATCTTCCTCGAGTATGACGGAGGAGATGATATATTCTCTTAGTAAAAAATGTGTGTGTGTGTGTATGAGAGAGAGAGAGAGAGAGAGAGAGAGAGAAAGCAAGAGAGACTAATCCCACCTCAACCCCACCCCCCAAATACACAAAGAGAAAAACTTACGAACCATATATTATGAAATATGTCAGCAGTGGCTTGCTAAAAAGAATGTGATACATATTTCATGCAGCTCATAAAGGATGATGGAGCTTATGTCAATCCCTTTAACGCCAGTCCTTGCTTCTAATGTTTCTCAATATTGAGGTCAATTGGTTCGGTGAACGCAACAGACAAGTATGAGATTTGTCACGACACTTAAGACGTGATATTTAACACTTCAATATGTCAAGTCAATCAGCCAGATCTGTTTGCTAGTTTAATTTGCCTAGCCAACTTGGCAGGTGGGTTTAATTGAGATGGAGATATATGCAATTGGTCTGATGATAGACTTCAAATAATATAAGTGTGTTTTTTTCTAAGGGCCATTGTAAAGCCCATAGTTCACCATTGTATTTGAGGAAAAAAATCAAAAATCATTTTATTTATACAAAAATAAACATAAAATGATAAAATTATTCAAAATTATAGCACAACAATGTATGAGCAAGTTATATATTGCGAGTGTACCGACAAAATTATATGTCTCAAATTACGTCAATCTATCATTTTGGTTCTGAAGATTAAGATTAGTATATTTATGATTCATACGTGGGGCGAGAGGAATGAATAATTATCCATAATATTTTTATTTTGGGGCAAGTATATATAGATCACTCAAAACATTGTTATTTTTAAGTCTAACACCCTCCTTCATCCATTTTTCAAATTCTCACTCAAATATCAAAATTCATGATAAAATCTCAACCTATATTTTCCATTTTTATAAAATTATTAATGATTTGATCGCGGTACTCATAAATGCATCATAGGTATTTGAAAAAAATCACTTTATTGCTTTATTTGTAAATATCAATATTTTGTATGTTATGCATGTAATTATCCCTTTTATCTTCTATTGTGATTATTATATTTCAAGTTATATTAATGCTCGAGTAAAATATGGGAAAAAAAGTTAAGATCGATACTTTAACTATTAAATAATAAAAAGTGGTAATTACTTCAATAAAATATCCCATTCCGATGTTGAGGACCACTGCACGACACGAGCAACATTATAAAAACGTAAAATTGAAATCTTGGATATGTAAATACATAGAAATTTGATGGCATCTATGTAAAGGCCCAAGGCATAGTGGCTCCTTGGACCGGGTCAATATTTGATCCGAGCCACTGTGGACCCGTATCGATACGCGCTCCAAACTGAGTCTCAACACTTATTCTCCACTCTATAAATCCTCCTCCTCCTCCTCCGTCACTCAGTAAAGAGAACGCAAAATTCTCCAGCTTCAGTGACTTCTACAGACATCAACCGCCTCACCTTAACCCGTAACCCAACCCAGAAGATGGAGATGGCCTACAACAAGAAGACAAAGGTGAAGAAAGGTTGGCTGGTGGTGGCCGTCGGCCTCGACGGCGATGAAGCCCCCAACGGCGACGGATTCCGGCGATTCCCCATTCCAATATCTTATCTTCACCACCCACTGTTCCAGAGGCTTCTAGAGTCCGCGCGAGAGACCTACGGTTACAAGACGGCTGGCCCGCTGCGTCTTCCATGCTCCGTCGAAGATTTCCTTCACCTCCGGTGGGTCATCGATCGGGAACAGCGCGCCGGCGGGAGCCACAGTACCCTCTCCCTCCATGCTTGCTGATATGCGTCTCTCTGTTTCATGTATTATAGGGTACTGGGGATCTGCTCCTCCAAAGAATTGAGAGGAGTTGCAGCGTGCGCCGCTTGTTTGTGCGCCTAAGAATCTAGAGAACTTTTGATGTAAAAATAAGGACTTGAAATGATTCTTGCTGTGTTTAATTTGCCGAGGAGAAGATGAAGATGGAAATGAAACTAATTTTCATGTGTCCCACTAATTTTCTTGTGGTCTTCATTCTGTACGGGTAGAATCAATCGGCATCAATTTTAAAAATAGGCAAACTATTAAATGTTAATTTTCATTTAAATATTAAGCTGAAAATCTATTCAGAATGGGCAAAATTATTAAATTGTATAAATCATAGAAGAAAATTTTAAATTTGCTATCATTTATGGAGAAGTTTCAAATTTCATATTATTGGGTAATGTGGAGACCCGGTCTACCGCAATTTGATTAGCTTCATAATTAAGAATATCGTCTACCGCTCACCTACCCACCCACCTACTGCTCATCTACCTCCCACTTACCTCTCTCCTAGTTTCTATAAATAGTCTCTTATGGGTTGTCATAATAAAATCAAGCCACAAGCCAAACAAGGTCATGTCAATTCCTCTAAGAGAGTAAGAGAGGAAGTGAGAGAGAGAGGGGGGAAGGGAGAGAAGAAAATAGAGATTTTCTTGTAAACGTCGAGACGCTCGATAGTGTAATTTCTCGAAGTAGTAAAATCCTCTGCAGCTCCGTGGACGTAGGCAAATATGTCGAATCACGTAAATTAGTGTGTCGCTCTGGTATTTTTTTCTGCGTGCAATTTTTTTCATTCCATTTTTCGCTTTATTGTCGTCGTTTTTCACAACAACTGGTATGAGCTTTGGTTCGAATTATAAGGAAGAATGATGGGCGGAGACGAAGTGATGCGAAGTGATGACAGACGAAGTGATGACATCGGGGATCAAGAAGTTTAATGACACAGATTTTGCTTATTAGAGGATGCAGATAGAAGACTACCTTTATGGAAAGAAACTTCATCTTCTGTTACTGGGAAAGCGGCCGGAAAAGATGGACGAGACGAGATGGAATCTGTTGAATCCACAGATTATGGGGTTATACGATTAACACTGTTAAGATTGGTTGCCCACAACATCATCAAGGAGAGGACTACAACAGATCTCATGACAGCTTAATCAGGTATGTATGAAAGTCATCGGTGAATAACACTGTGCATTTGATGAAAAAGCTATTCAACTTGAAGAAGACAGAATGTGTGTCTATTGCTCTACAACTGAATGATTTCAATATTTTCACAAATCAATTGTCATTTGTTGAAATTTATTTTGATGATGAGATACGTGTGCTGATAGTATTGACTTCATTGTCAAATAGCTAAGAAGCCATGAGGATGGCAGTTAGCAGTTCTGCAAGTAAATCTAAGCTGAAATATTATGATATTCGTGATTTGATTTTGGCTGAGGAGCCGCGCAGGAAGGATTTTGACGAGGCATCGTGTTCAAGTTCTGCGCTGAATGTTGATTCCAGATGGAGATCACTGGAGATCACATGACAGGAACACATGACAGGAACTCAAACAGAGGAAGATTAAAATCAAAGTATGGTCAACAGACAATCTGCTGGAATTGTGGCAAGGCTGACCACATAAAGAAGAACTGCAGTTGCAAGAATCCTAAGAAGAAGAAGAATGATGACACTAATGTTGTATCTAAGGAAATACAGAATACACTATTGACAGTTCACAGTTATGTTGATGACTAGATATTGGATTTAAGGGCTTCCTTCCATACATCTTCCCGCCTGGAGTTAATGTAAAATTATGTTGCATGTAACTTTAGGAAGGTATATTTGGCTGATGGAAAAGCTCCGGACGAGGTGGGGATGGGAGATGTTGATATTGCATTTCCAAACAAGAGCAAATGGACTTTGCAAAAAGTCAGACACGTTCCTAAGTTGAAGAAAAACCTTATCTCTGTTGGGCAGCTCAATGTGGGTGGTCCTTCGGTGGTGTTCTCAGATAGCACCTAGAAGGTTACTAAAGGAACATTAGTACTGGCACAGGGTAAGAAAAATAACATACTATATGTGACTACAGGTTTACTCAGGCGAGGACACATGAGTCAGAGATGCATTATGTGGAAGCAGAAGATGATCAATTTTATGAAAAATGGCAGAGCGCCAAAGGTAGGAAAATCAGACCTTGTACAGACAAATGGTGGAGAACCACAGAGTTAAGAAGAAATCTTATAAGATGATAATTCGAGCAAGTGGGAGCTGATCAAGAAGGATGAGACAGATTCTCTACTAGGGAACCAGACTTGGGAGCTGACAAAACTTCTATCAAGAAAAAAGGCATTGCACAATAAGTGGGTGTACCTGGTGAAGACTGCGCTTGGTGGCAATAAGAGGTACAGACTGGACTTGTTGAAAAGGGCTTTCAACAGGGGCAGGATATTGCTCATGCAGTAGGAGAGGAGTTGTCAGATACATGAGTAACCCAGGAAAGAGCTTGGTGGTAAAAGGCTACGTGTACAGTGATATGTCAACTGAGGGTGTTGCTCGTGAGAAACTAAAGTTGTGCTTGACTTCAGCTGGTCTTCTGACATGAAGACAGGACTTTGAATTGCAAAGGTGGAGGATATTATGTTTGGGAAAAGGTCGGTACATCTAGTACATGATGCAGCTAGTTGGTGATGCAATTAGTGTCCTAGTCTCCAAGTAGGTTGGGTAATGTGGAAACTCGGCCCACTGCAATTTGATTAACTTTCTACTTAAGCATCACAATTACCGCGCACCTACCTTCCCACCTACCGCTCACATACCTCTCACCTACCGCTCTCCTAGTTTCTATAAATAACCTCTTATGGGTTGTCATAATCAAGTCAAGCAATGTCAAGTCAAGTCCTCTAAGAGAGTAAGAGAGAAAGAGAGAGAGAGAGAGGAAGAGAGATAAGAAAATAGATATTTTCTTGTAAACGTCGAGGCGCCCGACATTGTAATTTCTCGAAGTAGTAAAATCCTCTGTAGCTCCGTGGACGTAGGCAAATTTGACGAACCATGTAAATATGTGTTTCACTCTGATATTTTTTTCTGCTTGCAATTTTTCTCGTTTCATTTTTTCGCTTTATTGTTATCGTTTTTCACAACACATATTAGGCAATTGTTCACTCTAGGATAGAATAACTATGAAGCAAGCACTTAATCCATGATGAGAAAGCTTTTTCACATCAATTGGACTAACTCAGACACTTAATTGGCAATTCAGATTCTCCGTCAATGGGTACTAAAAGAACCCAATGTGATGCATATTCAAACATCATGCTGATTTCAAAATCACTCGCCTAAATCAAAGTGTCACGCCTTTAGGAAAAAATATTATGTCCGACTGATTACACGTCTAAACAAACACACTCGGACCATCATCTAAACGTGTCGCTCCATGTCTCCATCTTTAGATCGTCACCTCAATTTGCTCAAATATGGATCATAAGATCCATGTGTCAAAATCTTATAACAAATTTATTGATTTATTTACTTCTCTTTTATAAAGAAAGGATGGTTGTGGCATCTTGTGCCTCTTTTTATAACAAATAGGATATCCCAAGTTTCTACCTATATAATTCTTCCCTTCTTTTGTCTCTACCTTTATAACCTAATAGTATGCATCTATCAAAATTCAAGAAAAATAGGGGCATAATTTGTAAAACAATATTAACTTAAAATATAATTATTATTAAATTATTATTAAATATTTTTAAGTTTATGAGAGCAAAATTTTTAATGTAATATATAATATAAACAAGTTTAATAAAAATTAAACTATATAGGTGCTTTATATAGTGCTTTGCTAAATAGATAAGACTTGTGTGGTATTTATGTAAATATCCCGATTTTAAATTATTCTTATCCACCAGGAGAAACTGATCAATCGTATACCTGAAACTAATATTATTCAACAAACATGCAATTTCATATGTAGCTCAGAAGCTTGTGAAGCAATAAAAATTATAGGATTGTGATATTTCTTAAAAACTATATATACTTAATTTAAATTACAAAGATCTTTTCTTATTAAAGTTAAGCACGTGGTACAACTTTTTATGTAATTATCTAGTTTGCAATTTAGATATATGCTTTGAATTATTAATTTTCTCTTGTCATGCACGTGTCAATTAAAAAAAAATTCAGTGTCACGGGCTACGCTTTGAATCTGAAGAAATTGTTTTGTTCGTGTCTGACCTCTATCGTCGATCACTGCAATCAAAATTTATTTTATTTTTTTAAAAGTTGAAAGTGTGGCCCACCGAAATAAATCTTTGCGATGATCGACGGTGTAAATCTGATGTTGCATGCATCTTTGTATGCGGTGTTCGTATGAAATAATTTTTCATCAGGAGAAATTATTCCGAAGTCACTCATAAAAAATATTTGGCCATTTACAATCGCACCCAACAATTCTTACCTAAACCTTAATTCTTTTACATTTGTAGCAGTTAAAATTTTATATTATTAAATTTTAAACAGTACATTACATATTTTGATATTTAAATAAAATAGGATAAATATAAAAATCAAAATGAAGTGTTAGATATATAAACACATAAGAAATGTGCGATATGAATGTAAATCTTCCAAAAATATATAGCCTAGAGGTTCTGTAGTATATTATAAGGAACATATTCGATTCTTTCTATCGGTTATTGATGCCTTAAGATTTAGGGGTTCGGTTTTTGGCTAAAAGTTGAATATAGTGCAATTAAAATTTCGTGTGTATTGGAAGAATAATGGGTGCAAGTAGGTTAAATATAAAAATTAAGGGTATGTTGGAGTCATTGTAGCTCTTTCTAAATTTGCTTGAAAAACCATGTTATAACTTCAAGTGGTGTCCATACTAAGACAATCATGTTCCGGGCAGCTGCATCTAAAAAAATAATTGAGAAGTTGTTATAAAAAAAATTATTATTTAAAAAATTGTTGAGGTTATTACACATCAATTTTTTTTAAAAAAATTTAGATCATAATTTTCTGACAACCATTTAAACAAGTCTATTTAGGACACAAATCACAGAGAGTCTCAGTGGAGATTTTTGAAAAAAATAGAGATGACTATAGTTTTGGCAAATAGATGAAATTGCGTTGTGGCACAACACTACCAATACACTCCAAACACAACTTAAGAGTGCATTTGGGGCGGCAGTGCAGCGGCGGTCTGGTGTCGCACCGCAGTTTTTCTATTTGGCAAAATTGTGTTTTGTCTGAGTTTTCAAAAAATTGCCGCTAAAAGTTGTGTTTTCCCACCAGATCTGTTTACCTACGATGACTGACA